TCTCTCTCTCTCTCTCTCTCTCTCTCTCTCTCTCTCCGTGCCCAGAACTTGAAGACCCCACCCACATATCCGACCCATTTATCTCCCTTTCTCGTTCTGGCTCTCTCTCTCTCTCCCTATCCCTCCCTCTCTCTACTTTAGTGATGGAGAAGAGGAGATTATCGCTCAGAGAATCGAAGCAGCTGTTGATTTCCTTCTGTGCGTCGGTGATGAGCTTGGAGAGGCGGTAGGAGGGGATGGTGGCGAGGATGAAGACGGCGACGGCGCTGACATCAGGATCGGGGAAGTCGAGATCCCATCTTTGTTTCTTCAGATTTTGATTTCTCCATTTGATAATTAGAACAGTCTTGGACTTTTCAACTTAAAATTGATATTGGGAAAAGGTTTTTGGTTTCAATTTTGATAGTGAAATTGGTTATATTGCATTAAGATTCAATTGGTAGGATTTTGGTTAATTTTGATTCTGGGTATAGTAGGTTTGTGAATTCTCTAAATTAGGGTTTAATGTTTTGTCAATTGGGGATTAGGCTCACTGTGAATAATGGGTTGGTTTTTTTAGGTGGAACCAAAGAGAAGGCCGTTGCCTGATTACATGGAGAAGGTTCAGAAAGATGCTAATGCTAATATGAGAGCGGTCTTTGTGGATTGGCTGGTGGAGGTTGCAGATGAATATAAGGTCTTTCCAGGCACTCTTCATCTCTCCGTTGCAGAAGGATGTCGTCTGATTGGTACAATTGTTTTTCTTCTTCTGATGAGTTCTGACATAACAGAAAATGGGACCAAGAACAAAACCCTAGGACTCTCCAAAATCTCCTAAACCCCAAATATTTCTTCACTCCAAAATCTCCTTTTTTGGCCTTTGATGTGCGCCCTCTTTTCTTTCTTCCTCCATTTCTTCTCCTTCGTCTTCTTCTTCAAGCTTTGTACTCTTCCACAACCCGAAAACCCATAATACTAAGCATGCCCACATGTCTCTAGAACGACCCGAATCCGGCTCCTCTCTTGCGAACCCAACCCAGACACGGTGAGAGAGGAAGAGAATGAGATAGTGAGTCGGAGAGGGGCGGATATGTGGGTGGGGTTTGTATGGCTTCAATGGTGGTTGGGTGGGGAGGTGATCGAAGATGGGTCGGAGATGTGGGTGCGGTTTTCAAGTTCTGGGCAGAGAGAGGGAGGGAGATAGGAGGAGAGAGCGCGAGAGAGAGAAAGAATGGGGATTTTTTTTTCTTCCTGTTTTAAAAAAATCTAATTTCATAATTTTTTAAAGATTTATTTATCTATTTTTGTTTACACATCAGCATCAAAGTGGGTACCACAATTGCCACATCACCAATTTAACAGAAAATTTAACGGTGAACTTGACGGACAGTGTAAATTGGCCGAATTTGAAAAATATGGGGTGTAAAATGATGAAATTAAAATCCGGTGACCCATATTAAGAATGACGTCATACCTTGAGGGGATCTTTTAATGTTAATCCAAAAAACAAAGTGGACTGATAAAAATTTCGTACCAAGCCGAACTGAACCGATACGTGCCCCAAGTATAAATTCCAGCCCCACCCGTCAGTGTCAAATGAGTGAAACCAAAAAACGGCGTCGTTATGGTGCTTGATTGCCTTCGAAAGCACGTTGAATGAAGCAGATAGTTCTTTTCAACTTCCTAAAAAAAAGAAAAAAAAAAAAAAAAAATCTCAATCAAATTGCTCATATTTCAAACTTCCATTTTTCTCCATAGGGCTTGAGATCTCAGACTGTGGACTGGTCTTGGCTGCAATCGACAATGGAGGAAGAAGACAAACAGCCACTGAAGGAAGAGAAAAGTCCTCTACAAGAAGAAAAAGAGGAAGCAAAAAAAGCAGAAGCAGCTGAAGCACAAGCATCGCCGGCAAAAAGTGGAGGATGGGGAGGCTGGGGATTTTCTTCTGTTTTCTCAGATCTCCAGAAAGCCGCCGAAGAGATCTCTCGCAATGTAAGCGTCTCTAGCATTTCGCAAGTGTATATGAATCTCCATTTTTATTATAAACTTGCCTTATTATTATTATTTTTTCTATTTTAGGAAATTAGAAATTAGGGTTTCTAAGTTTGGGAAAGGTTCGTTATTGGATATAATTTTGATGTTTTTAGATGTATCCGTTGTTAATTAACTATTCAGACTGCGAATCTTAATGTAGGTTTTAATTGGGTAATTATAAAATATATGCAAAGATTTGTCTATTCAATCCAAATTGAAAAGTTTAGGTTTGCAGCATTTTGTAATTAAATGTGTGAAATGGTTATTTGTGGATGCAGGCGGCTGCAGTTGCTCAGACTGCAGCAAAGAGCATTGCCGACATGCAAAACCCTGCGGAGGACTCGGAAGAATCTTCCAAGGAGGAAGAAGGGGATACTGAAAAGGAAAGCCAGGATGGGATGGAAAGCCAAGATGAGCATGAAAAGCAACGAAAGGCTGCTCTGGAAAAATTGGAAAAAGCTAGTGAAGATTCGTTTCTCGGTCAGGCAAGTTGTAAATTTTTAAGCAGTTGAACTTTCCTTTTATATGTTTGCAATTATTGCGCTTATAATTTTGCATCTCTCTCAATTTGATATAGGACACTTTAACATTACATTAGTTTCTGTTCAACTGGACTGGAGCTGTTTGTTTCTTGACTTCTGTAACTATCCTCTGATGCTGATACCTTTTATTTATATTTCACTAAGCATGCCGTTGCTATAATATTTTCAGGGTTTGAAGGTACTTGATAGTTCTGTGGAGAATTTTGCTTCAGGAGCGTGGCAAGCATTAGGAAGTGCATTGAAAGGCAGTACTGATCTAGTCCACAAGTATGTTCCACTGCAGTTGAATGTTTTAATATATTTTACATTATGTTAGAGGAAACAAGAGTAGTTGCATTGCATTTGGGGACAGTTTTTTGGGGTTATTTTCTGGGTTAAAATTAGTAATCAACAGATGCTAACTGGTCATATACTTTCTCTTGTTTCTCAGGAGCTGTGTACATAATTTTTATTTTTGTAGTTCTAGGATTGTAGAATGTTGTAAAGATGATCTAGTACTGCATGATGTAGTAAATATGGTTTTATAAGTTCAAAATTGGTGCAGTAATACAGTTGTATTGTGTTTTATTGACAGTGGTCAAGTTTGACTTTACCAACTTCTCTAATTACTTTCTAGTACTAGCATTGTATTTTGTTATTGAAATAAGTTTTGTTGTTCTCTAGGCTTGAGAATTCAGCTGTGAATCTTGCGGGATCCATCCAGCAAGGTGGTTTGCCTACAGCTGCTGGTTCTGCTGCACCATCCTTATTAGAGGTTTGTATTCTCCTGTTACCTGGCTTGTTAAGTTATATTGACTTCATTGCTTATATCTTGGTTTCATGTTACAGACTGGAAAGGCTTTTACCTCTAAGGGAATGCAAGTGCTTGAGCTTGTAGGCAAGGAAACTTTGGATCTACTGATCACAGAGACTGGTATAGAAGTTGAGAAGAATTCTAAACCCTCTGAACAGGAAGCCGAAGAGGATCAGTTATACGAGGAAGTAGGATTTGATCGATGCTTCTATATATATGGAGGTCCAGAACAGTTGGAGGTCATTTTCTTAATCCTGAGGGTTAAGTCTTGTTATATTAAGGAATAAATTTATTGAAGCTGTTGTATTGTAATACTGTCAGGAATTGGAGGCGTTGTCCAGCCATTATGCACTATTATTTAACCGGAGAAAAGGAAAATTATCATCAGAACAGAAATCTACTTATGATGGAAAGCTTAAACAGGTGCAGCAGATTTTCAGTTTGGATATTGAATTGGATGGAAGTGGTGCAGAGTCGGATAAAGGCAAAAAGAAAGAGACTGGAGATGATGGAAATAGCGATGAGATGAAGAGTTTGCATGATTCAAGCGTCAGCAAGGCTGCTGATATGGCGGCTGGGTATTTTACCTTGTTTAATTTATATTTTTATGTATTTTCCATTTTCTTTTCCTTTTTTTATACAGATTTTGTGAATATAATTAGTATATTTGCTTTCATGCATGGCTGTGTTAGGTCTATTGCTTCTTTTTGGACTTTCATCCGATTTTGACACATTCACTAGAGCCAGAATTAGATTACAACTGCTGTAAAACTAGCTGTTCTTGCATCTGTCAGAGTTACATCAGATGGATTTTCACGAAGTCACTGTTGATGATGCATCCTGTCTATACCCATCATTCTTGTCTGTGTGACTTGATTGGAGATCTTACAATCCTACTAGATGATTTCAAAATGAATTTCTTTATAATCATTTGCTAAAAGAGATTTGAGTTTATGGATCAGATCCCATCAGTTTGGTACTTGACATGCGTGACATTCTCAAAAAATGTTACTTTAAAAAGTGGGACTGGTGAAAGGCGAGTCCTGTAAAAAGTTATTGCAGGGTGTTGATATGTCCAGTTTCTAAACTGATTGCAATTTGATCAGCCTCCTCATTATACACTTTTTTATTTATTACAATTTCAGGAACTCCCAATTAATAGAAGTGGAAGCTGTTTGCTCCTCTTAATTATGTGACCTTGTCTGAAACATAGGAGTAGAAACATGCCTGGTCTTTTATGCTTAACTTTATTTTTATACATATCATGCCTTAACTACTATTACTTTTGGATTTTTCTACGTCCATTCTCCTTTTCCACAACCCTCTAAGAATCTTCTGTATTTAACATTATTCAGGTTCACAAGTGCTTTAGCTGGACAAGCTGTTAATGATATAATTCAAAGAACCACCGGCCGAGTAGAGAGTCTTCACTCAGAGGGAGTTCATGTATGGAGTTATCTGGGATAACTGTATTATATTCTATTGGCTCTGCTTTTGTTGACTTGGGTTTAATAGTTTTGATGTAATCATATGTCTGCAGAGACTCTCGGAAATGTGCTGCTCTGCGGTGTCTCAACTGTTGATGCTTGGTAAATCCATCATATCTAGTGCAAACAACACTCAGGTAGAAGATGCGGATGCTGATGTCGAGAATATTGATTGGCCTGAAGATTCTGTTGAGAAAGCAAAGATAATCAGATCAAAAGCGCAAGCAATGACTGGATACATGGAGGCAGTGTCCAGTAGTTTCATCACAGGTTGATATCCTGGAGCTCTGTTTCTTTGTGGTTATGCTCATAAATGACTACTTTTTCCTAGTTGCAATATGCCATTACAGTTCACCCTGTTGTGCTCAAAGGAAAAATACTCTGAGATTACTCGGTACCTCAACAGCAGAGTGGTTAGCTATTAGTTGACTGATCAGTTGTACGGTTGGAAAGATAATCCGCATCCGCATGCATGCAGCAATCTTTTGACCCAAATATAGCCATTGTATAAGCTATGAAGTCCATGTATATTGTTTAGGGTTTAGGGAGCCTAATTCCTAAGGTCCCCAACTCAGAAAGCCTTGTGTCTTTTCTGTGTGCTTTTAGACTGAGGTCTTGATGATTTTCATTTCCAAGTGGATTTGTTCATATCTGATATGCAAGATATGTATTGTAGCAGATATTTTTGTTGACAGTTTGAGTCTTTACGAACTTGTCAGGCATATCTGATGTTGCCGAAGCTTATCTAGCAGCCATAAAAGGTGCTTCTGCGGAATCCCATGATGTGCTTCCACAGACATCAATCCAAGAAAAAGCCAGTTCCTTCTCTAAACATCTCCGTGATGACCAGAACACAGCTTTGGGCAAAATCCAGGACGGGCTTCACTACTTGTCGTATGTGGTCGTTTCAAGCTCTATGCCCACTGCATGAGAGAACTCAGATCTCTGACCCTTCACAAGCTCTATTTGTTAAGCTTTGTAAATAGTGGTTTTTCAAGTGGGTTTGAGTTCTCTTATCATTTCAAATGTTATACGAAATTGAAGGAAAATTCTTGTTAGAACTCTTAAACAGTCAGCAATTTGTAACAATGAGGAAGGTAGAGATTATGTATTGCGTTAATTAAGGTTAAGTTGATGGATCCTATACACAGCTATTCTTGCCGCCTTGGTTTCATTAGTAATTTGGATGGTCTAGTTGACAAGAGTGCGATATTACCACTTACCAGGCTTGTGAAGTGTACTTAATTTTCAAATGACGACTTGAAACAACGTAGTAGTATTGTACACAATCTCTAATCAGCACATGAATCATAAATAGAGATTCGAACTCAATTCAACAATGAAAACAAAAAGAGGGATTTGCTCAACTCTGCAGCCTTTGAGCAAATTCCTTGCTCAGTTCTGATGGACGGGCGCTTTGCTCACTTCTAATGGACAGTCGCCGAAGTGCCCGTGGGTGACTTCTAGCTGTTGGTATAATGTGTTGCAAATACTGACATGAGCGACTGCTCGAAACACTCTTCTGACTTTTAGCAGAATAATCTTTCAATTCTTAGTGCAAATCCCTTATGATATGCGTCCATATGATGTTGCTTGCTGCCATGATAAAACACTTCTTAGCCAACCCTTTTTGCAATAATCCTTGATAGGGTTTTTAATAACAATGGTCCTGAATTTGTGCCCGATTTGCATTTTGTTAATTGAATTTGGAAAATGGCTGCCATTCCCACCATAGGCGCTCTATGAGCGCGTTGGAAGGTTGTGGCCTAGTTCTCCCTCACCTAATCAAGACACTACAAAAGCAGCAGATGACCCTAGATGTGTGTCGCTAAAGAAAACAACCACGGTAATACTTGTCGGTCTATCCTGCAGTGATACCTTCCAAACGCTGTATTACCATATTGTCTTCATTTACCAAACCAACATTTTCTATTCCGAAACTGTCTACATTCATTGTACAGAAGAGAAAATTATGCACGGAAAAATCCAAAATATATATAAACCAACGCCACTTTCTTCCACCAGAAAACCACTTCCACTAAATTTTACAATCTATCTGTTCTTGAATCTTAACCAATGGGAGAAATTGATCCAGCCTTCATCCAAGCCACAGACCAGAGGCCCAAGCTCAACCCCACAAACCCAGTTGCTGATGAAATCCCCATAATTGACCTCTCAGTTTTAAGCAGCCCTGATGAGACCAGAAAAGTGGTATCAGAGATAGGCCATGCATGCAAAAGCTGGGGATTTTTCCAAGTTATAAATCATGGGGTGCCATTGGAACTGGCCAGGAAGATTGAGGAGGTGGCTAAGACATTCTTTGAACTACCAGCAGAAGAAAAGAAGAAGGTGAAGAGAGACATGGTGAATGCACTGGGGTACCATGATGGCGAGAACACTAAAAATGTTAGAGATTGGAAGGAAGTCTTTGATTTCTTGGTGGAAGATGAGTCTTTGGTCCCGGCATCACCTGAGCCTGATGATAAGGAGTTGAGGAAATTGACTAATCAGTGGCCTCAGTACCCTCCTGAGTTCAGGTGTTTTATATTTGCTTATTTGAATTGTTCATTTCTAGTTTATCTTTGCTTTGTAATAGGTTTGCATAGAGTTGGCTGATTCTGGATTGCTTTAGTTGAACTGAGAACAATATGGAACTGAAAAAAATTAACATTTCTGCAAAACTTGAACAAACTTGGACCGCTTTAGCTGATTGTGCAAAATTAAATTAAAATTGATTCTGGATTGCTTCTTTGATTTTTTTCCCTTCTTCAATAAGCAGTGTTCTTTTATAACTTGATTCATCAGAAAATTTGCCAACTCTTAGAAGGTTTACAAGTTTGGAGACATGATTGGATACAAGAAAACTGATTTGACTTAGAAATCAGCACGATCTAGTATAGGCTTTTAGTCCATGAGATTTTGGGGCCAAAATTGTTCAGGGAAATTGGGTTTGGATCCCCTCAGAAGCAAAACTGGTTCTGCATAAATTCTCACTTGGAAATAGGACCATGTATTCCACTAGGATAATATTGTATGATGCTAGCATTTTAGACTTTAGTTGAACTGAGAGCAAACTTGAACTGTAAAAAGAATATTTCTGCAGAAGTTCTGCCCCTTCAAATTTCCCCCTTCTTAATTCACCATAAGAACTGCTGTTTTCATACGTGGTTCATTAGACAGGTTACTCTCAGAAGTTTTACAAGTTCGGATTCGAACAGATTAAACAGATTTGCCATGAATGCCCATGTAGTACAGGCTTAACTCCACCAGGTTTACAAAAACTTAAGTGTAATTGAGTTTAAATCCCCTCAGAAGCACATGTTGGTTAAGATTCAAATAAAAAAAAAAACTTATTAGCTACATTTTGCTTAAATTCTCACTCCACCAGACTAATATCCCATGATGCTAACGTTTTGCCTTTACATTGGCATGTGGTCTATGTACTCCAATTGGCTGCCTTGAGTAGAGAGGTCTGCCAGGAGTATGCTCGAGCGGTGGAAAAACTGGCTTACAAGTTGTTAGGACTAATTGCTTTGGGCTTAGACCAGCCAGAAAACAGGTTTAATGACTACTTCAAAGACCAGCAAACGAGCATGGTCAGATTCAATCACTATCCTCCATGCCCTTTTCCTCACCTAGCTCTAGGCGTTGGGCGCCACAAGGATGCTGGTGCCTTAACCGTCCTGGCCCAAGATGATGTTGGAGGACTAGAAGTTAAGCGGAAATCTGATGGAGAATGGATTCCAGTCACACCCACCCCAAATGCCTACATCATCAATGTTGGTGACATTGTCCAGGTACTATTCATGAACTGTGAAATGAAATTTTCCCATTATGTCTTATGAACGACATTAATGCATTCATAATTATGAATGAGATTGTAATTGCGAGTGACCTTGTGCACAACACCAATAAATTTTTTAGACACTTGCATGAGATGTACGTTCACTTTGTAAACGGCGTTTTTATCTGCAGGTTTGGAGCAATGACAAATATGAGAGCGTGGAGCACAGGGTGGTAGTGAATTCTGAGAAAGAAAGGTTTTCAGTTCCATTCTTCTTCTTCCCAGCCCACCATGTGATGGTGAAGCCCTTGGAGGAGCTACTGAGTGATGAAAACCCTGCCAAATACAGGGAATACAACTGGGGAAAGTTTTATGCTACGAGAAACCGCAGTGATTTCAAGAAACAAGAGGTGGAGAACATCCAAATTCATCATTTCAGGTTACCAGAGTAGATAGGATATATCGGTGAAGTGAAATGTTATCCATTGCTAGCAACATAAAGTCCTTTTAGCTTCTTGTGAATATTGTGCTATGTAATCAGGTCAGAGGCTTTCAAAACTTGCTTTTATAACAACATGTCCTTTTAGCTTTTTCTGTCTTTATATTTTATGATTGTTTTTCAGGCAGTTTCTGAGTTTAAATTTATCACCAGTTACTCAGTCTAAGCAAGACATATTTATCAATGTGTACAGTTTTAAAAAATTTAATCATCAGCATGAATTTCATACTAATCCTTACAGCCAAAAGAAGAAGAAAAAAAAATTTGATGCAACTATGAATTAGGATTATCCAGAACATTGCAGCTAATGGAGTGCAGCAGAGCCCAAAAAAGAAAACAGAACTGGAAAAAAAGGTACAACCCTTATAGTAAACAACTATTTAAGCAAGGGGCTTGTAGCTTAAGTGGTTAAGAGCATTTACCCATGCACCGAGACCCTAAGTTTGATTCCCCCTTCCCCAATATCACTTGTATAAAAAAAATAAAAATTAAAAAATTAAAAAAAAAACTATTTAAGCAAATTAGCATTCTTCTCAAGAGGAAAAAAATGTAAGAAATGATGTAATTAATTAAGACATAGGCAAAGATAACAAAACAGTACAAGACCTGTTCGTCAAGCCCAAGATTCTTCAATATCTTTTGTTGTAATGGTAGTGACAAGCTGCTTCCATTACTTACAGGGATAATATTCTTCCTGCTGCAGCGGAACCAGCGAAATTAATTTAATTTAATTCTAGCAGCCCCACCCATCAATGTTTAATTTTAAAAAATGAAGAAGAAGAAGAAGAAAATTTGGATTGTGTAGCAATTTGATTTTGTTGTGACATTTTGTGCTTTGGTTTTTTATTCTTTCTTTAGAAGAGTGAGTATTGCACTCAGTAAACTGATACAATCATACTTATTTCAAATTAATACCTAAAAGAAATATTGGTGTCAAGTCAGACTTTGGTTCCAAAATGTTGCTGTACGTCTGCAATGGCATCATAGCAAAGAAAAAGACAACCATGAAAGCACAAAAGGTCACAACCCTCTACAAAGCAAAACCGTGCAGCACTAGGTAATCTCCACCTAGTAATTTACCCAAACCCTTGTCCAGATTCAATATAAAAGTACAAGCACTTGCATTATAAAAGCTACCAGTGTCGTTGTTGCTTCAAAGTGGCTTTTCTAGCAAAATAAATCATTTGTTAAACCAAGATCACCAGCCATGGGAGAGGTTGATCCAGCTTTCATCCAAGACCCTGATCACAGGCCTAAACTCTCCATCACCGAAGTCGAAGGCATACCCTTGATTGACCTGACTCCGATTATCTCCCCGGACTCCATTTCTGACCCTAAAGCTATTGAAGCGGTTGTTAGAGAAATAGGCAATGCATGCAGGGACTGGGGGTTCTTCCAAGTGATCAATCATGGAGTAGTATTGGATAAGCTCCGAAAGATTGAGACTGCTGCTAGGAAATTCTTTGCTCTGCCTTTGGAGGAAAAGAGGAAAATTAGGAGGGATGAAAAAAGCGTGTTAGGTTACTACGACAGTGAACGTACCAAGAATGTCAGAGACTGGAAGGAGGTGTTTGATTTCACAGTGGAGGAGCCTACTCTAGTCCCGGCTTCGCCTGACCCTGAGGACAAGGAAGAGACAGAGTGGTATAACCAATGGCCTGAGCACCCTCCGGAACTAAGGTAACTAAATGATCACCAAAGGTAGTATAAGTATATATGTTTTAGCTAATTGTAATAGGAAGGGGAAATCTTGATCACCTATGATCATACCTTGTGAATTATAATGTGTATCAAACAAAAAACACTATCTCTCATCACTTTGTAACTTATTCAGTTGTGCCGTAAGGACCCCATGCTTTTGAGCTTCCTTTATATGATATAATACACTGCCTTGACCAGGGAGGTCTGTGAAGCATATGCTCGAGAAGTCGAAAAGCTAGCTCTGAAGTT